GCATTCCCTTTGAAATCTGGCACTAGACAAAGATGCCCTCTCTCATGACTCCCATTCAACATAGTATTGGAAGTTCTAGCCAGATCAATCAAGCAAGGAAAAGAAATAAAGTATATTCAATTAGGAAAGGAGGAAGTCAAATTGTCTCTTTTTGCAGACGACATGATTGTATATTTAGAAGACCCCATCATCTCAGCCCAAAATCTCCTGAAACGGACAAGCAACTTCAGCAAAGTCTCAGGATACAAAATCAGTGTGCAGAAATAACAAGCATTCCTATATACCAATAACAGACTAAAAGAGAGCCAAATCAAGAACGAACTGCCATTCACAATTGCTAGAAAGAGAATAAAACACCTAGGATACAACTAACAAAGGATGTAAAGGACCTCTTCAAGGAGAACTGCAAATCACTCCTCAAGGAAATAAGGGAGGGCAAACATTGAAAAACATTCCATGCTCATAGTTAGGAAGAATCAATATTGTGAAAATGGCCATACTGCCCAAAGTAATTTATAGATTCAATGCTATCCCCATCAAGCTACCTATTTGACCTTCACAGAACTGGAATAAACCACCTTAAACTTCACATGGAACCAAAAGAGAGACCGCATAGCCAAGACAATTCTAAGGAAAAAGAACAAAGCTGGAGGCATCATGCTACCTGACTTCAAACTATACTACAAGGCTACAGTAATCAAAACAGCATGGTACTGGTACCGAAACAGAGATATAGACCAATGGAACAGAACAGAGGCCTCGGAGGCAATGCCACAACCATCTGATCTTTGACAAGCCTGACAAAAACAAGCAATGGGGAAAGGATTCTCTGTTTAATAAAGGGTTTTGGGAAAACTGGCTAGCCATGTGCCGAAAGCAGAAACTGGACCCCTTCCTGACACCTTACACTAAAATTAACTCCAGATGGATTAAAGACTTAAACATAAGACTTAACACTGTAAAAATTCTAGAAGAAAGCCTAGGCAAAACCATTGAGGACATAGGCATAGGCAAGGACTTCATGACTAAAACACCAAAAGCCAAAATAGACAAATCGGATGTAATGAAACTCCAGAGTTTCTGTACAGCAAAAGAAACAATCATTAGAGTGACCCAGCAACCAACAGAATGGGAAAAACTTTTTGCAATCTACCCATCTGACAAAGGGCTAATATCCAGAATCTACAAAGAACTAAAACAGATTTACAAGAAAAAACAAACAAACAAACCCATTCAAAAGTGGGCAAAGGATATGAACAGACACTTTCAAAAGAAGATATATATGGGGCCAACAAACATATGAAAAAATGCTCATCATCACTGGTCATTAGAGAAATGTAAATCAAAACCTCATTGAGATACCATCTCATGGCAGTTAGAGTGGCAATCAGTAAAAAATCTGGAGACAGCAGATGCTGGAGAAGATGTGGAGAAATAGGAACATTTTTACACTGTTGGTGGGAGTGTAAATTAGTTCAACTATTGTGGAAGATAGTGTGACGATTCCTCAAGGACCTAGAAATAGAAATTTCATTTGACGCAGCCATCCCATTACTGGGTATACATGCAAAGGATTATAAATCGTTCTATTATAAAGATACATGCAAACATATGTTCATTGCAGCACTGTTTACAATAGCAAAGACCTGGAACTAACCCAATTGCTCATTGACGATAGACTGGACAGGGAAAATGTGGCACATATACACCACGGAATACTATGCAGCCATAAAAACGATGAGTTCGTGTCCTTTGTAAGGACATGGATGAATCTGGAAACCATCGTTCTCAGCAGACTGACACAAGAACAGAAAATCAAACACCGCTTGTTCTCACTCATAGGCGGGTGTTGAACAATGAGAACTCATGGACACAGGGAGGGGAGCATCACAGACTGGGGTCTGTTGGGGGGGAATAGGGAAGGGACAGTGGGGGGTAGAGAGGTTGGGGAGGGATAACATGGGAGAAATGCCAGATATAGGTGACGGGGGGATGCAGGCAGCAAACCACATTGCCATGTATGTACCTATGCAACAGTCTTGCACGTTCTGCACATGTACCCCAGAACCTAAAGTGCAATAAAATATATGTGTGTGTGTGTGTGTGTGTGTGTGTGTGTATAAAATGAAGCCATCTCACTAAAAATAAAAAACAAAAGTATTTGCACCCAAATCCTTTTATATTTACATTTTATCCTGCAAATGAAAAACTGGTTAGAGAGTATCCGCAAGGTCTCTCGGCTTAAAAATGAGAAGAAAAATGGCTTAGTTGAATTTTACTTGAGTTATCTAAGCTGCTAGAAAACAGAAACCATGAAGATAATCCTTCTACCCTTCTGTGTGTTCCAGGAAAGGATTTACTCCAAGGAACCCCCCTTCTCCCTGGGGCTTAGATAAGACCCACAGATGCCTCCCTTGTTTATTAGTGACAAGGCCAGACACAAACCCTCCAAATTCCTATTCTTTGTCTCATAAATGATTAACTGAACTCTGTCCCCACTGGTCAGTCGACAAAGTACCTGCCACCTTGACTTGACCAAATTTTAATTAAGTTTCTCTCTATCTGTAGACCCCTGAACTTTGACCCATTCTTACTACACAGTCCCTTCTACAAATAGGCTGACCTCAGTGTACACATAGTTTTACTGTCCTGACCCATCTTCACCTTCCATCCCACTTCCACACATCCAGTTCTCCTGAGCCTTGTTCATTCTCCTCTAAGTAGTAGAAAAGCCCTTTTCTCCTTTACATTACAGACATTTTCAGATCTCTTGGTCTCTGTGTCATATGGTGCCCCACTCCCTTCGTGCAAGAATTCTTTTGAATGATGTCTCTCCTTACCTAAATCCAGGTTTGCTTTTTATTTGACAAAGATAATAAATAAATAAAGCAAAAAATTCAACCCTACACTTTCTGTGCCTGCCTGTGGAGATGTCTCTGAACACAGAGCAATGTGAAACACAGACGTAAAACAGCTCCTGTCCATGAGGTCTTCTCTTCTAAAATTGAGACACTTTACAAAGTAGTAAGCAGTCTTTTTCTCCAGGGAGGCAGGGTTTTTGCATTTATTCATTTAATAAAGACTTATCCTATACGGACACTGGTAATTTTGTATTCCAAACGTTTCTGGAAACATTCCCTCCATTCAGGCCTGCATCATCTTTATTTTGCACTATCGCAGTAGATGTTCTCATCAGTCTCGCTTGAGTTGTTCTTATGCTCTCAAATCCATCCTCCCCACAGCATTTAGTGATCTATCTCAAAGGCAGATATGAACTTTTAAAAATATGTAATGTCTAAGCACCTTAAATTATGTACAAGGCTTCTCACAGTCAGACTTCTGCCTAAATCTCCACCCCTAGCCCTTTCCCCTGTTTGTTCCTGTCTCTGGTGAGACCCCCCCCCGTCACCATCCCCTACATACGGGGCATATACATACTCTACTTTATGCCCCTTTCCTGATGTTACTCTGCCATTCATGCTGTCACCATTCCTGCCTGCTCCCTGCCTCCTTTACTTCAGCTAAGCCTCAGTGCAGGTGTCATCTCTAGAAAAGCCACTCTGACTGCTGTATCTGCATTCCCTCCCAGTTGGTTTCTTATTGCTTCTTCAACCTGGCAATTCAATAAATAAATACTGGGTAACATGAATAAAGGCCATTTCTACAACAGTGATTTAAGAGATATCCCCTACAGGAGCATCCATGTAAAGAGGTCATTGAAGTTCAGGATGGTAAAAATACATGGAGAACATCTGTAAAGCACTACAGTAGCATCCTAGAGGAATTGTTTTTAGAATGAAATTGTTTCCATCTGGAATGGCTCCCCATTAGCCCTGATGGAAAGTTGGGAAATAAATTTGGTCAAGGTTCCTTGAAGGTGTTTGCAGGATGAAAATAGAAATGCTACATTTCTGAACTGTTCAGTTTTGGAACCAGAAACCAACTTGTATTTGCTTTTCGAAAAGAGCATCAGATCTCTTTCTTTCTTCTTCTTCATTTATTTATTTGACAGAGTCTCACTCTGTCACCCTGGCTGGAGTGCAATAGCGTGATCTTAGCTCACCTCAACCTCCTCCTCCTGGGTTCAGGCAATTCTCCTGCCTCAGCCTCCCGAGTAGCTGGGACTACAGATGTGCATCACCACACCCAGCTAATTTTTGTATTTTTAGTTGAGATGGGGTTTCACCATGATGACCAGGTTGGTCTCGAATTCCTGACCTCAGGTGATCCACCCACCTTGGCCTCCCAAAGTGCTGGGATTACAGGTGTGAGCCACCGCGCCCGGCAGATTTCTTTCTTAACCTTGTAATTGGTGAGCAATGACCTTTAAATGTATTTATTTTGTTCATTCATTTAACAGACACTTGGCAAGGACCTACTATGTGCTAAATATTATGCCAAGTGGTACAGATTAGGCAATGGACGAGACAGACTCCGTCCTGCTCTGGGGTTGACATATAGGCAAAACAGACACTAACAGGTAATCAATACAGGAATTAAGTATTGTACAATTACTGTTTAGGACATAATCAGGGAAGAGCAGAAACCTACTTTAGAGAAGGTGTTTGGGGAGGGGCAGCTTGTGCCAGTTTCCTTTAACTTAAGTCTTGATGGAGAGGAGCCAGCCTCATGAGACCCCTGAGGGAGAGAGTCCCAGACCAAGAAAACCTCAAAGTGGGAAAAAGTTTACCTTGTGGAGGAGTGAGAGAAGCTAATGTGACTCAGCAGAGGTAGAAGTAGCTTTCTTCTAGAAGCTTCCAGGAGACCACATGCTCCTGGGTTACTTCACATGGGACCCCTTCTCAGTCTCCTTTGGTGATTGCAGAGGGTGTGGCCTCTTTGGGAAGCCTAAGTTCGGTATTGCCTCAACCATCAACTCAGCCTGAGATCATGGATTGTCATTTCACCATTTAGACTTGGGTTCTCTCATATGTAAAAGGCAGAGGTTGTATGAGATGCTCTCAACTCTGTATACCATGATGCTATTAACATTAATAACTGTGTTCACTTCAGCAGCACGTATTCTAAAAATTAAAACGATACAGAGAAAATTGGCAGGGCCCCTCGGCAAGGGCAACACATCAATTCATGGAGCATTCCATATTTTTTAATCGCAGTCAATATGTCTGGGACATTTGAAGAAGCCAGTGTGGTCTCCCAGCCCAAAGAAATCATTAGTTACTAAAAGATCACTGAATCTCGAGAAGCATCATTTATTCATTCATTCATTTTAAAAGTGAATGAATGAATGAATTTTTTTTCAACAACAAAAAAACTTGAGCACTTAAAATGCCAGATACTGTTCCAGACTCTGGGCCACACTAAGGCAGAATGTCCACTCAGGGTGAAGATGAGGCTGATAAAATAAAAATATATAGTCTAAATGCAGGCAGGGCATAAAGTTGTATAAAGAAAAACAGAAACAGGTTATGAGGAGAAAGTGATGAGAAGCATGGTGTGTTAAGTAAGGTGGTCAGAGAAGGCCTTTCAGCAAAGGTGTTTGGGTACAGGACCGACTTTACTTAATTTACTTATAGCTCATATTTAAATTGTTTATGGGAAGCCTAGAATGTTTAATGTGTATCATCATCCTTTCTAGTTGATTTCTGTGTTCATATGGAAATCAGTGGAAACCAAAAGTCTAAATAATCCAGCAAGCAAGGCTTCAGAGAAGATAGCTAAATTTTAAACAACTGCAAAGCTGTCTTTGAATTGGTCTTTCCATCTTTAAAACAAAACATGTGCTATCATTCAAATCTGTTAAGACATTTCATCAAACATGGGTTCTGTAAAGAGACTTCCATTGTCAGCATTGCTGAGCCTCAGCCTTACAGTGGAAAGTGGACATTGCACAGAGAAGTAGGGATGTGACTGCCCTGAAGACAGATTCTGACAGGCTCCAGTCAAGCCTCTCATTAAAAAGGGTCATTGGGAGGTTACATGAAGGTTTAGGAGGTGTTGACGGTGTGAGCAATCTCCCCTCCGAATGGAGCAGAGTTAATCACTCACTGGGCAACTGGAAAATCAATGGCTCCCTGCTTTCTCTCCTACCCTTTGCCTGTGCTTGGCCAGCCTGCTCCCCTGCTCCCTGCAGTGAACTGGCGTCAGGCAGAGGACTCTGGGATTCTTCTCCCCTCCTACTCAAAGACTGGCTCTTCAGGAGGAGAGTCATCTAACCCCAGGGGAGGACAATGTGTTCTTCCCTAACTGGGAGAAAACTTATAATGAAGACTTATTGCCAAAGAGGAGGAGGAAGAAGAAAAGAGGGGACATTAGGGGAAACACAAGTTGGGACATTGGGGGAAAGGCAGCCTTTCTGAAGAAAGACATCATTGCAGCCAAAATGTAAAGGAAACAATATCCAGAGATGATGGGCTGGAAGCATTTCCAATTCAGTGCTATCTGCGTTTTTAGAAACTTTTTGTTAAGGAGATGGTGAGTTGCCTGTTTGTGGTTGAGCTCTAAATGTCTTCATGTTTACCCTAAATGAGGCCATCCATGGAACTGACTGGACCAGAGGTCCCCAGGCAGAAGGCCTGAAGAGTCAGGATGCCTGCACTCTGGACTGGAACTTACAAGGTGAAGTTCTCATTTTGGGCCTCACTAGAAGTACAGCTGAACCCTTTGGTTGGCAGAAGGGTATAACCAGTAGGAATAATTATTCATTAAGGTCAAAAGAATTGTTCTTTCAGTGGGTCTGGCTGAGTGGTGTTCATCCCAGAGGTATGCAAACCACCACCTGAGCTTCAGGGCTCAGATACTCTGTCATGTAAGGAAGAAGGTTTAGAAATTTCCTATGAGAGAGGTTAAATCATAAAGTAGGAGCCAGTATTATGATACAGTGAGATGTGAGACTGTGGTTCTCAGTGGTGGTGGTTCCACTGGGATGGAAGCGGGGTGAGTGGGGGCTGGAAGCACGGAGGGAAACAGTCAAGACATGATGGTCTTGATTCTGACTTACAGCTGGGTGTCTTCATTTTCAATTTTAAAGGAGGAGAAGCGATAACCAGAAAAAAAGGAGGGAGCGATGAGGAGTAAGTGGGGGTGTTGTTAGAAATACAGCCAGTTTGAGGGTGTTTAAGAAGACAGTGGACTTAGTTTGCCACACAGTGTTGGAAGCCAACCTGCTCATGGTCACCATCTTGGCAGTTGTTTGGAAAGAGTATGGAATTGGCTTTTCCCAGTGTGGAGAGCATAGCCTGTGATGTCAAACTGAGATGGAAACATATATTGTGTGAAGAAATGAAAGAGTCCATTTGGCTGTTTCCCCAGATTAGCGGATACACATCCAGGGCGCCTTCAGTGAAAACTGGTATCGTCTGCCTTGTCTTAAGTGAATTTTCTTCCCTGCATCCTGTGATTATGGTTCCCATAACTTTGTTAGCCTTCATATTGAGTTTTTATGCTCATGCACTTCCTCAGCTCTCCATTTCCTTCCAAGCATCTTAACTGGTAATTCAGTTTGCTCATGGACTGCTTCGCAGCAAAGCATCTCACCATGAAATGGTGCTTCTCCCTACATGTATGAAATAGAACTAGCAAGGTTGGCCTTTGGGAACAAATAACTCACACCTGAGGTTTTGGGGCCGATCATCTGCTGTTCTTATCACCGTTTGGCTCCCCGCCAGAAGACAAGTGGAGAGATTTGGGCTTTTGTAAAAAGAACCAAATTCAGACAAAAAGAAAGCCTGTGACCTTTGGACTTTCCAACCAAGGACGCTTAGTTAGGGCTAGAGCAGGAGTCACTTGAGCCCGCCCCATAAATCCAGGTCTCCTTTTTGCAGTACAGGTGACTGTTCATGGGAGAGGAGGCCAGTAACTGTCATTCCGAACCTGGACAGATGAGTTTGCTGCGGCTTGGCCCCTTGGAGTCTTTAATCCCTCCAGAAAGAAATCTTTCGTATTTCTTTTGAGTGATCACCACTCAGATCTTTTCTGAATTCTAGTAAGAATAAAAACCTCTGACAGACCCACTGAGGTGACCTCCAGCTCTAACAGCTCACTACATAGGGAGGTTCTCAAACTTCAAAAGCCATCCTTTTACAGAAGCTTAAAATTAAATGACTCAACTCTGACCAAATGTGTAGGAAGAGTGGGCAGTTGCTGGAAAAATTAGGTATTTGTTGTTAAGGACCTTGAGCCTAAAATCAGACTCTTGGTCAGCAAAATGGTAGGCCTAATCTCATCTCATCAGGAGACTTCCTCATAAACAGACATTGCCATAGAAGGACAGGTGAGAGAGGTGCATTCACATTTTCTGTTGTCTCAGGGTAAGTCAAGAATAGATACTCTGAAGCTAGATTACTGCTCCAGGATATACTGAGCCTGAATCTCACTTTAAACTTTTGAACTAATCTCAACTAAACTTTTTCCCCACAAATTGTGAGACATATTAGAAAAATCCAAATAGTCTACAGAGTTGTTTTTGTTTTGTTAAGCGTTTGGATGTTTGATGATGGGGGAGGAAGGAGGAGACAGGTAAGAACATTTGCCTTTATGGTTAGCATCTTTAAGACAAATGCTTTCTCAATCTTTATGGTAAAACCCAAGTTTACCTGGGTACCACTAGAATGACCAGAGCTTTAAGAAAGGTCTAAACAGATGTTCCTATGCCACCCTCACAAGTTTTCCCATTTGTTAGGCGCACTCATAAAATACAAGTGATTGAATTGGTTTTGCAAAATATGTGTGAAATAAGGAAATTGACCTAGATAAATTGGGAAATTTGCCCAATTAAATTGTTTTAAACCACCAGAAATCGGGATGTATACATTAAAATGTCTTGAGAAAATTACAGAAGTTTATAATTTAGATTTAACCTAACCATATCCCCTTCTTGCTCACGGACTGCTTCACAGCAAAGCGTCTCACCATAAAATGGTGCTTCCCCCTCTGTGTGTGAAATAGAGCTAGCAATATCAGCCTTTGGGGACAAAGGACTCAGACCTTAGGGTTTGGGGTTGATCATTTGCTGTTCTTAACACCACTGGAGGAAAAATAAGAGTGACTTTCTGGAGTAATTTGCAGATAGCCAGGATCCTTTGAAGACAAAGACTACTGCTTTCCTTAAACGTTACCAGGCATACTCCATACAGATTATCCCTTATTCACAATGTTTGGGACAGAAGTATTTTGGTTTTTGAATTTTTTTTGTATTTCAGATTTCAAGATATTTGCATTCAGCATTCCTAATCTGAAAATCTAAAATGTGAATAACTCCCATGAGTATTTCCTTTAAGTGTCATGTCAGCGTTCAAAAGATGGCGGATTTGGGATTATGGGTTTTCAGATTAAGGACACTCAACCTATTTTTTTTATAATATGCGCTGTAGATAAGCTGCTGTTCACAATGTTGATTTCTAACATCTAAATGGCTCCTGAACAGATACACATGTAAGTGATGATTTAGATAAAGGCAGCAGCTGCTTATTATCAATGCATCATGCTGAGAAGCTCTAGCTTGCTGTTGCTAAAGCCAACAGTGCCGGGGGAATGGCAGCTCACCTTGGAGGCTAACATCCGGAATGGTTTGCATGGAATTGGCACCATTCCTGAGAGAACATTCACTCTGAGTACAAAATTCTATCCTTTAACACTGCTTCAATTCGAGAGTTGTATTGCCTTTAAAAAATATGAATTGGAAGAAATAAGAAGTTGAAGTATTCTACGTCTTAGTTTTAAACTGGTTGTTAATTAATATGCAGCTAGTTTATTTCTAATTGAAGAAAGTTACCCATTCTGAGGACATCACCTAGACTACCCTTTTATTCAAATCACCTGCTATGGAAGGCTCTTCTTTGAGAGGCCTAAGGAAATACAGAAACCATATGTTCCTGATAAAAAGATCTCTTTAGATTATGTCGCCCATTCAGGATAAACAGCCAAATAATAGAACCCAAAAGGGTAAAAACCAAGAGCATTGTTGCCAAGGATGAGGGATGATCAGAAAGTCCTTCTGTTGTAGCTAAAGCTATATATTAAAATGATGATGAGGCCAGGCGCTGTGACTCACGTCTAGAATCCCAGCACGTTGGGAGGCCAAGGCGGGTGGATCACACGAGGTCGGGAGTTTGAGATCAGCCTGGCCAACATGGAGAAACCCGTCTCT